AAATACTATAACGAAAGAACATTAATGAAACAAGGGAATTAATTTCGTTATTTAGTTCGACACTACATAGCTCAGGTATTATGGGAGTACTTCACAAGGGTGGCCCCTTATGTTATTCTGCAGTACTAGAGAAAATCCAAAAATCCCCGCATGGGTTGGGGTTTTTTCAAATATTCTGTTCGTTATAGTATATTGTCTTCTTTGTAAAACGGAGTGTCCGCAAATCACCCAACCTTGTCCACGCTTCGGAGAAAACATGATTCCAGTTCATCCATACTAATTGACAAAACCGATAACCGTGTTCTAATGTCCAAAGCGTGTTAGATAAAAACCAATAAAGTGACAGGCAGCGCACAATTACAACGATGTAAGACGTGTCGACTATTTGCACTTGCATTTAAGTCCTTCAACCCCCGTAAACCGTTTTGAGGTGGCTCAGTAAGTGCAAGTGCAGGATGGTCGACAGGCTTTGTTTTCTATCTGGTTGTATAGTACGTTATAGCATATTATTATAGTTACTAATAATATAAAATGAATTTATTTACCTACTTAAATATGCCTGTGTCATATCTTTGACTACCAGGATATTTTTTACGGTGTCATATCTTTTGACTCCCAGAATATTTTTTTTCGGTGTTATAATAAAAAAGGTTAGATTTTAATAGATCTATCGATTCATACTAATTACATTGTTGGCGGAGCTGGGTGTGTTTTGCCCATTGTCCTTGCAATCAAATCGATCTAATGGTTTTTGTGTGAAAAAGCAACAGTCATGAGCTTATTTCAGATTCATCATATTATAATCTGCCCGCTGAGAGAATGCGTTCTTGGCATTTGTCAGTTAGTCATATTATAACGGTATATTACTCTTAGCCACCGCGGTATCCTGCTATGAGGTGGCCAATAGGAATACTCAAAAATAAAACGTTTTTCTTGTAACGAATCAAACTCTAACTCAATATCATTTATTCAGTCTAGGCTGTTACAAGTATTTGTGAATGACGAAATGCTATGCCACCGGTTGGCAAATCTACGGCGGGAGACCTTGTACTGAGAAGAACCGGCAAGAAACTCAGCAACGGCTCTTTTTCTCCCTGGCATTATATACAAAGCCGTCAAACTTAAAAATGACTTTAATATGAGATAATTTATGAAGTCATTTTCCGTTACAAACACAAATAAAATATATAAAAAATACTAACACTTTAAAAATACTTATTTAACACATACTTTAAGAACGACGTGTAGGACACTTAAGACATAATAAAAAAGTACGATTACAGTCAAATATAACGATATCATTATCAGCCGACGGACGTCCACTGCTGGGCATAGGCCTCCTCAAGGGATTTCCATAAGAAACGATCCTGCGCTCTCCGCATCCAGTAGGTCCCCCTGACTCGCTTGATGTCGTCACTCCACCTCGTGAGGAGTCTACCAACACTGCGCTTCCCGGTTCGAGGTCGCCATTGAAGCTCATTGGGACCCCATTTAATGTAGCAAGAGCAGACCCATCTCCGCTGGCAGAACCCATTAACCAGCATGACGCATGAACCAGCCATCGCTTCGCTCAACCATGTTTTAGGGAACGTAACGATCCGCCTCATATGACACCGCCAAAGAGACTTTTAAGAGAGCATGGCTATTCCCAATTACATATGGATGCTAGATTGCAAATAGAAAAAAAAAATAAGTACCTGTGTACATTATTACAAAAAACACAACTGCAGGACATAATATGCATATGATTACCTATACACTATTACATCTTAAATAGAAAAATAATATGTAGTTGTTGACCTACATTTGATTGCTGTGTCAAAAATCAATTAATTATCATTACAATAATACAGTAGTGATAATGTCGGGATATTTTCTTTATCCATCGGAAATAATAATGCTTTCTTGGCAGAGAAGTTATTCATTCTGAAACAGTGACATTATAAATGATTAGTGCTGAATATCTTTTATACTTTAGCAGGGTTGATAGAGTATCACATCAGGTGCACCAGACATTCAATTTTTAGGTCATTACAAAATACTCATTGTGTCTACATTTGTATCTCTTCCAGTTTGGCTGGGCTGCTATGGTTCCAAATTAGTTATTCCTATCTTCAAAATAATATTTATTACAGAGGACGAATAGCAATACAAAAACAAAATTTCATCAAAATCATAAGAAGACAATTTAAAAAAAACGCAAAATTGGCCCGTTTACATTTTTATTATATGTTAATATTATATATGTATGGTATACCAAAAATAAATATTAATATTAAAAGAATAATTGAACACAATGCTATGTAGATTCCATATAAAACAAACACTTAAAAGAATTATACTTACCTGATCAAAAGTTGTTGGTCGCACTATACTCTGTCGCTCGTTCGATTATGGCGCAAAAAATGAGAAAAAATTTGATACAGGTCCGACGCTGAGGAGCGCTCGCGCAGTACTGAGTTCGGACGACCGGCGCATCGCATTTTGTAGTAATTTTGCAGTTGTATTTATCGTATTAATTGAAATAAGTGAATAAATTCATGCTTTAAAATTATAAAATCTTTATTCCTCATGAATTAACAATTGTTCTGGTATAAATTTTGCTTAGTAATATTATCGTAAATAGGAGTAAATCGCAATTAACTTTAAGCGATTTTCGAAGATTTTTAGGTTTAGAATAAGTTTTTTTCTATATTAAATCAAAGATATTTCAAAATTCTAAGGCCGCTACGAACTATATGACTATATAGGAGATAACATTCTCATTTTTTTATTTAATTTGCTTAGAACAGTAGTTCAATCCAGGAGCTCAAAAAAGTGCCTTCGCGCATTTTATGAAAATCTTTCTCTGCAATTTTGAATTTAATTAAAAAGTTACGCAAAATTTACAAAAAGCGAGGCCGCTACGAACTAGGCCAATAGTTATTCTGCACTATTCAATAGATCAAAATTGTTAATGTATATTTGTTTCCGAGATCAAGAACGCCAATTTATGCAAAAATCACAGTCGAGATGTAATATGCCTCTTAACTGCGCAGTGCGCCGCCAGTGGATCAAGCTGAGGCGACACGCCTCGAGCTGATCCACAGCCGTTGCCTCAGAGCGAGCAGCCTCAAACTGAGGCTATTTGCTTCAAGTCGAGGCCGCTCGACGCGAGGCTGCCTCTAGTGGATACGTGGCTTAAGGCTTGTATTATAGAAAGATTCTCAGCGACTGATTACAGAATGACAACTAAAGCCCGTATTACAGATTGACAACTAAGGCGTTTTGCAGACGACGACGGGGCGGGGCGGGCATTTTGTCCGCGAAGCAATAAAAACCGCGTCTGCCCGTCGATGTCTGCGGCTGCCCGCGCCGCCTACACAAAGCACACGATGGGCAGAGGCGGTCAGTTCAGGACGTTCGTTCTAGTGAATAGTCCATCATTCAAAAGCGCGAAGCGCGGACTGAGCTGACCGCCCCGCGCCGCCGTCTGCGTTACTGCATATAAACTGGTTTGTATGATCCACGGCGGGCAGCCGCGAACATGCCGCGGTCTTTTTGCCCTCTGTGTGCGTTTGTAATATAGGATTCACTTTGTGCTATCGTTCGCGGCGAAATTGTCCGGCCCGCCCCGCCCCGTCGTCTGCAAAGCGCCTAAATGTTACTCTTTACTTGAGTACAGTTACAAAAGGATGTCGCTATCTTCTATATATAGCTGTCGTGGCCATATCGTAGATTTGATCACTTCATGAAATGCTCGAAAATTTCATGAAATGTTTCACTATCTATTGGCCACATCGTGATGTGGTTTGGGCAGATCAATGATGAGAAATCGTTTCACGATATGGCCAACTAAACGCGTGGCTACTTCATGAAATAGCAAAAATTATTTGATCATATTGTAAAGTAGTTACATTAATTACCGGTAGAGGCGCTGCAAGCGCTTTGTTTATATATTTATATAAGGCGGCCGCTGCCGACAATTTTGTTTCTCGCAGTGAAACAGAGCATAATTCGTTATTTAATGAGCAAGAAAGTTAACAAAAGGGTTTTCGACGAAACAAATTAAGGAGAGAAGGGTGACTACGCAAAAGAAATCTATGGATTCATTACTGGCTGTCAAAATATGACATTTTGAAAACTGCGGTTGAGGTACAAAGTGCGGATGAGAATCAATGCCGTACAAAGATATACTGTAAAACTGTACTTCCAGGGCCCAAGAGGTGATACTTGAGTTTTTTTTGGAGAAGAGGTCTCTTTAATAGTTTTTTTTTCTGGCGCTTAGCCGGCCGCTGCCGCGGCACGCTCGCTTTGCTCGCTCGGCTCGCGCGTCATAGTCACAACACTATCCTAACCTAGTGTGAAGTATTACCGTTTGGGCCCTGGAAGAACAGTTAAGTCTACTATTGTAATATGTACCAAAGTACCTTATTATTTCTAAATATTTGATAGTTTTCTAAATATAAATGTGTAAGTTCTTGACATGTTTAATTTAGGAAAAAAATCTTTAATTTGTTTATTTTGTTACAAAAATTTGATTAAATATGTTTGTGTCATTCGGACTTGAATAACAATAAACAAGTTCTTAAATATTCTGGATTTTTAATAAATATTTTATGGACACCCTAATACGATCCGGCCAAATGTGGATGACCAAATCGTTAAATGTTGACGATTTAATGATCTGGTCAAATTAAGTTGGCCATGAAATGTGACCATTTCATGAAATTCTCGAGCATTTCATGAAGTGATCAAATCTACGATATGGCCACGACATAGTGACACCCCTTTCTAACTATGCTCAAGACTAGATTAATTACCGAGAATCTTTCTATAATACGGGCCTTTGTATGTTTTATTTTGACTGGAATTTTTATCATATAATGATGAATGAATTGACTTTTAAGACAATATTTATAAACATTATTCTATTTAATTCAACCATGGATGTCAACATGTAATGAGAGAACAGAGCAAAATGTATAAAAAAGTATTCTTAATAAATAGGAATGAATGTACTAAGCACCAATCTTTTCAATTTCTTCAGCATCTTCAATATCAAGCAGATGTATTTTTTTCCCAAAATGGTTCTCTATATCTTTACATATCTCCATAGCTTGTGGTGAATCAATCAAATTAATAGCAATTCCAGCTTTTCCGAATCTTCCTGTACGTCCAATTCTATGTAAATATGTCTCACAATCTGCTTTCCTATTCATATCCATGGGCATATCAAAATTAACAACAAGAGTAACTTGCTCTATATCAATACCCCGAGATAAGACATTAGTTGTAATCAGAACTTTTTCAAGACCAGCTCTAAAACGATCAAGCACAGCTATTCTCTGCTCCACAGTCAATTCACCTGACAACACAGCAACTGAATGACCATCTTTAGACATTTTCTCAGATAACCAACTTGCAGTCTTTCTTGTATGACAAAAAATTATGGCTTGGCCAATTGTAATAACTCCATATATGTTACATATAGCCCGGTATTTCTCTTCTGCATTTTTACATTTGACATAATATTGTTTAATGTTATCTAAAGACTCTTCCTCGCGGAGCAATCTTATAATGATTGGATTGGGTACAATTATTTCCGCAAACTCCATTACAGCACTATCATATGTGGCAGAAAAAAACATCATTTGACAAGTTGGTGGTAAGCACTTATGAATACGTACACATTGATCTTGATGACCCTGCCGATCAATCATTACATCTGCCTCATCCAAAACAAACACCTTGATTTTACTCAAATCAAACATGCCAAACTTAATACCCCAATCAAGCATCTTTCCTGGTGTTCCAATAATAATATGATCTGTTATCTTTGTACCTCTAGGTACTTCTTCTCCTCTAACAGCATATTTCAGTTTTATTTCAGGACAAAATTTTGCCATTTTTGCAGCAACCTCTCCAGTTTGAATAGCAAGTTCATATGTGGGGCTAAGACATAGTACTTGTGGATAATTTTTTGTTGGATCTACCCTACTTAACATAGCTAGAACAAATGCAGCAGTTTTACCAGTTCCTGATTGTGACTGAGCAATCATATTTTGAGGAGGATCAGCTAATAAAGTTGGTAATGCAGTTTCTTGGATTTTTGAAGGTGCATTGAATCCCATATCATAAACACCTTTCAACAAATTTGACTTCAAATGTAATGCTTCAAATGTTTTTACAGAATAAAGAGGAGAATTTGGGTCCTTTCTTTGAACTTCAATATCTAACTTTGATTCTACTAACCCTTGACGAATAATTTTCATTAATAATGAAGCTTCCGCTGGATTAGCAGCATCTGGAGAATCATCAGACTCAGCAGTCTGATTATGGGATTTTTTCAAGCCCAACCCAGCAACTTTGTTGGAAATTTCCAACTCTTCTGCCTTTTGGCCCCATTGATTTGCCATATTGGAATCTGAAATTATCAAAATTACTTTTAGAGTGAGATCAAGTTTGAAACATAACAAAACAATAATTAGCACTGCCTTGTTGAATGGGTTCTAAACTCCTTGCACAGTCCCATTTATTTGACATTTGCTTTGGTAAAGAGATTAGCTTGTGTAACATTCATAATCGCTTTAAGTTTGAAGGGAATTACAGAAAGAGTTGAAGTTGGACTATTAGGACCCTGATTAACAGCCAGTTTCAATAATTATCAAAACCACAGTAAGAGATAGGCCTATTAGAACTTTGGTGCCTAGATATTTTTGTTATTTAGATTATAATAACTTGTCAATAAATGTAACCATTCTGTTCTTAACATTTACTGAAGGTAGCTTTGAAACTCAATAATTTGCTAAATAAAGACTAAAAATTTTTATATAAAACATTTACAATCTCAATCATACAAGAGATCATATTCTCCTAACAGCAGAATATAAGCAACTATAAAACGGCTTACTTAGCAAATAGGAACTCTCTTTTAAATGAAAAAAATAATTACAACAGCTCGAAAAATATGTGTAACTAAAAATATTTATTAGATCATCACATTTGATAAACATTTTTAAGAAAACAGTATGCATTGTTTATTAAAGAAAATTGTATTTTGCCAGCAAAGGGACCAATTTTTAAGGTCCAATAAATTGTTCCCGTATTAGAGAATCGAGTATTTTTTGTAAACCGTATACTAATTCCTGGTATTTAATATCATTTACGTACCTACCTACCCCTTTCAGACAACAAGGCATTTGAGGTTTAAATAAAAAAAACCTACATAAAAATATGTAGGTAAGAAAATTACACTAATTGCTTACCGATTGTTCAATTTACAGTATTTATAAAAATGATATCTTAATTAGATTTTATGACCTAGGCAAACAGAAAATCTAATGCACAACGATAACTAACACATTAAATCGAAAGACAAATTCACCTCGCCTCGTAGGTATCAACAGTTTGAACAACCACAGAGAGAGTTTTAGAGATTATTTCTCAAGCCGGCACTTTGCAATATGTAAACTTGACAACAGTATGTCCTTAACATGCTTCCTAAAGAATGAAAAGGACAGACTCAGGTCAAGTTTACAAAAAGCAGTACAACAGCTCGTTCCGCATAATGCCGGCACTTCACTTCACTGCCGACATAATGCCGACACTTCACTTGAGTACCGTGTTTGCTTTTTGTATACTTGATATGAGCCTGTCCTTATAAAACCCCTTCCACACGACACAATTTGATTGCCAATCTGATTGCCGATTGAATTGGGTACAAAATCTGGTCGTCCGTCTACACATACACAACAAGATCGCCAATTTCAGTTTTATTTGTTGCCTCTGCTGAAAGGACTTGTTTGTATTAGGCTGCCTCTTACCAAGAAGCAAAAAATTGGATTAATCTTGGCTCTAACTACAAATATAGATGAGAAAAAAAGAAAAAGAAGACTGTGGACAAAACAATGGTTATTAAAAAGAAAGCAATTGAGGCACTTAAATGTAGTTATATTATATTTAAGTGACTCAATTAATAAACTTAAATATAGTTATACTTAAAGAGTAATATTTTTAAAGAAAATATAACTAGAAAAAATTCCACGCGGACCAGGCAGCAGACGGGACTCGAACCCGCACCCTTCGAAAACCCTTTAAAATATAACTGAGTTATATTTTCTTTAGATTTAAACATCAAGCAGTTACATGCTTTAAAAATAATAAAAATTATAACAGTAATATTTTTATCAATATTTTTCCACTTATTCCGCAAAATCTCTAAGGCATTGTCCTAATACAACGAGATAACGCGAATGAGCGATGCGATCATCGTACGAGTCGACGATCAAACATATTGATCTAGAATAGGTGTCCTAATAGGCGATCGAGCGATACATTCGCGCGACTAAAATGTTTAAAAATCTATTCGCGGGAACATAGTTCGCGCGAACGCGCAATCAAACCTATTAATGATGCATAGGTGTCCTAACTGAAGTTCGCGCGATGATAGCGTCGCGTCGATAGGAAGCGGGGAGAAGGGCAGGGCTAACCCGACCAAACTGTGTGTCAATCGTGATCGCGTATTCGCGTTCTATTAGGACACCCAGTTCGCGATCACGCGATGGTCGCATCGTTTAAACGCGCGATGATCGCGTTATCGCGTTGTATTAGGACAATGCCTAAGGAATTATGCCTTGCTTGTTTATTTTTATATAATGGGTTAGACACATCCCAAAAGCATGGCAAGTCTTTACATATATCTAAAATCTCCTCCATTACTTCCCGTTCAGATCGAATAGACATAATATTGTCGTCATGTTGCTCCATCTTCTTCTCAAAAGACAAGTCAACGCACACACCCGCTCTGAACGCCGCTTGCACAGGGACTACGTTAAAAAATTGGCCAGTTAGCGTCCACACCATCCAATTTGATTGGGCAATCCCGAATCGGGCGATACCGATCATCCAATGACCTTCAATTTCATATTTCCGTCCACACAACACAATTCGATTGTCAATCTAATCAAATTGGACGTAAAATTGTATCGTGTGGAAGCCACTTAAGACCTATGCCAGACGGATGTAATCCAGCGTACCAAACAAGGTGACCTTGGTGGGAAGTTGGTTTCCATCCGCGTTATGATTTTCGGCTACACGGATGTAATCCACGCGGCAACACGCAATCGCAAGCAAGCCGTCTTCTGGCGTGAAAACACGTATGCATTTGTATCGTGCGCGGACTGTATCTAGACAGGTCATCAATTATGACACATGTTTAATATGAAATAATTGAAACAACTTTATTCATTATGTAACCATTTATACACCAAAATGAACTTAACAAAACATAGATTTTTATGACAATAAAGTTTATTCAAAATGACCTCCGAGTAAAGGGAGAGCGTATGATGAGATGAGAGCGAAACAGCAACAGTTACGAAGCAACGCATACTGCAATTTTTCACTTTATTTTCATCGTAATAAAATAGTTTATACACTTTTGTTAATATTTTTATTGATTAAATCGTTAACATTATTTCTTAGGAAATAATGGTGAGCTTTGACACAATTTAATTTCCACTCTCGTTGACCTCTATCCTTGAACCCTAGCAAAAGAAATTTGGTGCGGATTTGAATTCTTATCATTTCAGTAGATTCGAACGTCCAAACACGTTCAATTAAATTGCATTAGCGTATTATTTTGTATTGTTGGTGTATTATTTATGTTCCAGTTTTTTTATGTTTAGTTTATTATCTATATTTTTAACAAATATTTCTGTAAAAAACAGAAATAAACTTAATTACTCCCTTATGCAGTATTTATCCATGTATGGATAAATACTGCATTATCTAACTCCTAGTCCTACCTGATGTTGATGTATCTAAAACTCACATAACGGTTACGTATCAGTACCAGGAAAATATAGTTTTCCATTCCATTGTTATCCTGTAATGATATATGATTGATATGGTCGTCAGCGATATCACCGATATCAAAATATATAGTTTCAGAATCCGATATCGAATATTGATATATAGTTTCGATTTGATTCAGACAAAAATTTTGCCTTTTTGAGTTGTGCAAGCAAAATGTATTCTAATGATTTAAGGATTCCACAACATTCTCTTCGATTCATTCGATTCTTCAACTCCTGTGTATACTGAGGTTTCTGGGGGTAATTTAATTCTTTTTGTTATTTTATACTGTTGGTGGTAAACACCGAATCCAACTATCCCAGTAGATAGATGTTTGGGGATGTTTAACCGCTGCTCCCCACTAGCGGATCGGAGTAATTAAACGACGATACGTCCGTGGGGAGCAGCGGTTAAACATCCCCAAATTGGTGACCCCGACAAGTGAAGAAATAAATAAGACGAACAGGAGTTACACGGCTAAGGCCTTCCGTATTATTGGAAAATTACTCGTACGTACATAATACTATCAAGTCAACTACAGGGGTGTGTTTTCCCATCATTACTACGGCCGGTAGTCAACGCATCAGCGATCGCTCGCAATTCGGGCACACGCTGGAAATACACCACAGATGTCAATACATTCTGGGACGAGAGCGCCGTGACGTGACGCGAAATCACGATTGATTGATTGATTTGATCACGTCGGGGTTACCAATTTGGGGTTATTTAACCGCTGCTCCCCTCTAACGGAACGCAGTAATTAAACGACGATACGTCAACTTATCAGCACTATATTTGGAAAATATTCACAATAGGCTAGTTGACCCTTTTTGGAAAAAGGTTTTAAATGGTTAATTAATGTTCTATTAGACCGACAAAAAATGTATTGTATTTTTTTTAACCTAGAAAGCTACAAATCTTTAATTTTAAAATAGACTTTTCATGGACATACAAAAACGCTGTCGGCCATTTTAGTCTATAGATTATCTATGCTATGACGTGAACTGTGGTAAACAAAAACTCGTAAACACGTAGAAAATTAGTTTTAACTGAGTTTATAATAAAAAAAAAACTTGATTTCTAATAAATACCACGAAAAATAAAGTAATTATCATTACTGTATTGTACGAGAATATAAAAACACATCCTTGAAGACTCCAGGAAAGTTGTGGATTAAAGTGCCGAAAGAAATTAACCTACGCAACTTTATTACACTTATTCATATGTTGTATCAGTTTTATGTTTATTACTACATTGTAATGCTAAATGCACTGTACTTACGTAGATGCCTTGTCGTTTCTCTGCTCCGCAGAGCAGAAATCGGGGTTTAGTGCAACAAATTCACCAACCATCAATGCGTCAATTCTTGGCAGATTTGTGCTTTCTGCTTTCACAAAGCCGGCATCCATAATTAGTTTTGTCAAAAAACTGTTTTTTTCTTTCCTAAAGTTAAAAGTGTTTTAAGATAAATTTAGTCAGACGAAAGAATCCACCTACAGTAACACGCGAATGACATTTAGTTGTTTACCACAAGAGACGTCAAAATCATGGCGGATGTGGCGAACAGCGTTTTTAGAGTTTAAAAAATATAGACTAAAAAATATTTTTTTAAATTAAATTTCTACAGCAATCTTCTGCTTTTATGAAGTGAAATCGATATATTAAGGTTCCTTAGACTAAATACTTTAAGAAATAAACATTTATTTTATACAATTCGACATGAGTAAACTAGCCTATTATAAAATACAATTTGTACGGACGAAATTTTTATCTGAAGTCTATTTTTAGAAGGACAATTAAAAATTCAACAGAAAATATCAAAAAGAACATAATTATAAAACTTACTTTCTAATGTGCCAGTGCCTACGGAATGTCCATAGACACTGGCTGTATGGCGACATGGACCAACTTTTAAGCGATGCAAAGTCGCCACAGATGTTTAGATGCGTTACAGTAAATGTAATGCCAGTCTGGCCATTCTGTATTAACAATACTCATTACATTAATATTAGCATTTTTATCATTACGTACAGAGTCTAGATAAATTAATTTGGGTGAAATGGTAAGAGATTCATAATTAATAGAAAAAATGGGAAGATATTGTGATCGGTGGGTGGGTGCTAGCAGTGAAGTAAATTTAATGTAGCTGATTACCAAGCAAGGAAGCGGCTTGTTATTCCAATATGCCGAATTATTAATTTTACGCAATAAATGGTGTAACTTGTTAAAAAGAGGGTGGTCAGAAAGTAGAAGAGCTCTAAATAGAAATTTATCACATAAAAATTGTCTCCTTAGTTTTAAAGGAGGATCCACACATTCAACCTGGAGTGCATTAATAGGGCTTGACTTCATGGCGGGTGCCAGTTACAATGCGAAGAACTTTAGACTGGATGCCATCTAACTTACTTAATGCTAATGCAGTACAGGGCTCCAGAAAGCAACTTCTATAATCAAGGATACTTCTGATAATAGCAATATAATATATTAACTTTTGTGTTGATGGATGAGCTCCCCACCAAACACCAGACAGGCATCTTAAAATGTTTAATAATTTTTCACATCGAGCTGATACATAATAGCAATATGATAAACCAGTTAATTTGGAATCTAGAATGATTCCTAGAAATTTAGCTTCATTACACACTGCAATTATGTCATTATCATAACAGAAAATGATGAGGATGATCGTATTCTTGTAAATAAGACGGCACAACTTTTAGAAACAGAAAGACTCAGGGAGTAATTACCTAACCGTGATTTAAAGAGTGTTAACACATTACTTAAATATTGACTTAATTCAATATTATATTAGGCTTCCATTGAAAATATTTTTAATGTTGTTCTTTTTGAGGAAATGGCCAAACGAAATAGGGTGAATAGAGGAATACCTCTAATAACAGACCAGTGCCAGTGATAATAATCACTGGCACTGGTCTGTTCCTTCTGAATATGTATAATATACGGGGCGGCAACTGACGCCTGATACAGATTTCTACTTAGTTGGCCAGGAGAGGAATTAGAATTATTTACATTTATTATTTCTTGTGATACTGAAGCAGTGGAAATTTTGGGAGATTTAAATTTAGTGGGAAGGTTTTATTTAAAAATGACTATTATCGTTAGTACACTGACAATCTTTTTCATTAAAAGCCACTGAGGAGGAGCTCGACAGCGCAGGTGGCTAGCGCGTTCGGCTGCGATCGTTGAATTTAAGCAACTTTCGCAGTGGTCGGTCATTGGATGGGTGACCAAAAATCTATCTTGAGCTCCTCCGTGCTTCGGAAAGCACGTGCAGTCGATAGCACCCACCAATCCGCACTGGGCCCGCGTGGTGCGTCATGGCCCAATCTCCCTATTCCATCCCTAGGGAAGGCCTGTGCCCCAGCAATGGGGACATTAATAGGCTGATGATGAGGAGGATTTGTATTGCCTTCTCTTTTTGTTACAATGCTTACAGAATTTTCGGGATGAGACTCGTTTACGTTTGTAGTTATTAAAATTTCTGTTTCCATTTCTCTTTCATTACTATTAATTGGAATTGTAACAATATGCGACACCTGGGGGGCTGTCCCCCCAGGCTCTAAAGGGTCATTCATACGTGAGAAATGTTAAAAACTTACCAATACAGAGAATATAATTACACACTACTAATAAATATTAAAATATACACTAAACTAAAGACCTATCTGATCCTAATGACTTTTAATAGAAATTAATAAAAATTCTTGCCAAAAAGTACGTCCGCTTACATTGAAGGTTTCCCGCGCTTTTTCGAAATATTGGTGTCGATTCTGGCGTGATTCTCTAAACTTAAAACTAAATTTAACATCAGTCTCTCCTATTCATTCTGTATAGAGAATGACAGGGATGCACTGTTGTCAAATTTAAGTTTAGCTTTAGAGAATCATGCCAGAATCGACATCATTGACTGACTAAAGACAATACATATTTTTTTTTAAGATTATTCTTTTTTACATAACAAATTTCTCGCAAAAATTGTTCATAAAGTGCTCTAAATGATATCAATCAAAGTAGGTTCATTTTTTTTATAAAGATTATGGATTTAATATAAAATATGCCATACGGATTTTTCATACGGAGTTTGGCTATGAAAAATACGGAAATAGTGGTTTAGCGATCTGGCAGCACTGCTCCGTCCAGAGCCGTAAAACATAATACATAAAAAAAAAACTACCCGACCCAACCTGTGGACCCAACCATCGCTTAATTGTGAACTTGATTTTTGTGATTACATAAGATACCTATTTAGAAAAAAATGGGATTACATTTTGGAGAGCTCGCGAAAATTCGCGGCTTGATCACGTATAAAATTTCCCACCATGAGCAACGAGCTTTTGCCGGGGCTATTTCCAATGGTATACCTAACATATTCCGGAGATTCCGCGAGAGTGTATTCAAATGGGCTCCTCGTAAGTATTCATTTAAAAAACGAACTTTTTTACTTCTAGAATTACGAATCATATACAGAGCGTCCTACCAGCATGCCACATGGAGAGATAGTATATTAACAACTATTGAAGAAAGAATATTTTATTGAAAGAAGATATCATTTTATTTTTAATATTAAGTAAAACTGCATTTGCATATTTTTAAAATCGCCTGCCACAATCGGGTATGAAACTCGTGAAATGTGAAAAAAAACCCATAACATATTCAATAACAGTCGAAAGGGTAAATCACAATTGTGTTTTTTTTCTAAATAACATAGCATTTTTAATGAAAGATAGATCATATCCCATTTTACATTTTATTTATAATAATTGAACACAAACTACAATACAAAAGAAATTGCATTTTTTTTTTATTTATTTATCAATAGGGAAGATGCATATATAATATTTATGAAAATTTTATGATTGAAATGTTAAAAAAATATAAAAGAAATGCCACTGCAACGTTTTTATTTTACATAATGTTGTTTTTTAACAATTATTACGAATTAAAAATACTTGAAACGGAACGTATTTTAAAACACCAATCAGCGTTTAGTGACGTCACTTCTGTAATGACAACTTCTTTGAGGTTATGGTTGTTAAAGTAAATATTATTTTATGGGAATATTTATTGCGTTTTTTTACATTTAATAAAAATGGAAGTTGCGTTTATCAAAGCAGACTCCAGGAATTTACCAAGAGTTAGCGTTGACATGGTTATAACTTCTTTTGTCCAAAGTGCAGAGTTTTTAAGTGTAGAAATGAAAGGGACTATATTACTACGGTATGTAAAAATCGTAGTTTATTCGTATTTTATCCAGCGGCTTCTACAAATCTTACGGCGATAATGCAATCGGCTATGTCCAAATTAAAAGAGATGGAAAATTATGTACAGTAAAAAGAGTTCTCCGGAGCATAAACTACGTAAAGAAGGTTATCGTGTTACAGTTATTTTAAATGAAACGCAAAGCTTGGTTCAGTCCTGCCAATGTGAAGATTGTGCCACACATTTTAAACTTTATCTAATTTTCGACGTCATTCTCCAACTGTAAAATTAAAAATATGTTATAGACAAGTTTTGTAAGTATTAGGTAGGTTACTAATGGGTTTTTACGTACAAGCAGATTAATTAAGCATATAACAAGTATATTCGCCAACTTACGTCAAAGTGATCTTCTCAGCATCGAATAATGGTCTTTGGAGAATAATTGTCATTTCTCTTCGCAGCTTGAAACCACTTTTTTTTCAGTTTTGGGTCAGAAGTTCCAGTCAAAAACAATTTATTTGGGAACTTTGTTGAAGTAGATTGGCAAAAAACATGTGTCAACACGGCTTGTTTCCGGAATATTAGTGGTATTGTTATGATCACATGATGTTGATGGATAGTCCATTTTAAATTTTTCAAAAAAATATTTCGAAAGTCGAAAAAATATGCAAAAGTATGAAAATTTAAACCCAGCAACGAACAATTACGACCAGTGACAGACAGGAGTGACGTCATCGCAACCATAGGTTCGTTTTCGCGCGAAAATTTAAATTGTCAATTTAAAACCGCATTTTTTCCGATAAATCACAATGTTTTAATTTTTTAATATATCTGTGGTTTATTCTACATGGAATTCTTTAAAATGAAAACAAAAATAAAAATATTGCATCTTCCCTATTGCTCAAAATGTGTTTCATTCTGTTGTATACAAATTCTCACTATTTTAATATTTCTCTGTCTGTCGATAAACTTACTTTGCATGGTGAATGTATGAAATATCACATCTAAGTTCATTTTGTAACTTCTGCACTTTGTTGCGCTGATTCTTGTATATTAAATATTTTATATAAACTCACAAAAAAGCCAGCTGCATTGTAATTGTGACCTCACAAAAATATGCATACAAGTATATTACAGTTGTTAGCTTATTACAGTTTGTAGTACTGCTTTATTATTTTTACTTGTATTATTAAGTCTACGCAAGTACAAGTAGTGTACACAGGTACTAGTTAGTGAATATTTTGCAATGATAATATTTGCTGTTGGAAGCACAGAAAAGTCGGACAAAATTGTCCTGAACAAAATTTTTATTTCATAGTATTCTTTTCATTTAAAATACTTTGTTATTAGGGAAAAAATAATTCTTATGATTGTCCCTTTCGATGGTAAGCATACAATATGTGATGTGTGTTATTTCACGAGTTGCAATTCCCGGTTGTGGCAGGCAATTATTTAAAAATCTGTGAATGCAGTTCTACTTATTATTAAAAATAATATAATGTCTTCTTTCAGTTTCAGTAAAATATTTTATCTTCAATATTTAACATACTTACCCCTGGGACGCCCTGTATATATAAACTAGGCTAACTAAGTAACATTATTTGATCTCAATAAAAAATGTATTAAATTATGTCAGTTTATGTGGGCCTCCATAAAATCACATTTAGGAAGTAAGAGTAGCATTGTAATCCAATAAAAGGGACATCAGATTGCAACAATGAATTAAGAATTGAAATATTTTTTGGTAGTTAGGTAGGCAAATGACTACCCCAGCTAATGTTAACTGGTGATAAAGTCCAGACGCGAAGTTAGCTGGTGCAGCAGCTATAAACTGCTGCACCAACCATCCTCACCTTGCTGGCATGCAGAAATCCTTTTGTATGCCACTCTTCAGGGACCCCAGATTTTAGGAAGGAGGGAACATTTGTGGGGGAAAAGAATTCCACTTGCAAATAGTACACAAAAGAAATTAGTCACCAAATTTCTTTGTTCGCATAGGAATAGTGGCTGCAGTAAGTGGGTGACAAAGTAGGCCAGCGCGCGTGGTTCTCTGCTGAAATTGGGTTGGTGGGATAAGGGAGATTAACTCCTCGGAACACTCACCGTGGTGGTGATAGTCTGTAGAATGCGTTTAATGATGCCCCATCGCGCCGTGATTGTAGAGACTCGAGTTTGTTAGTTACCTCTTCATCGTCAATGATGATTCTATCGTTCGCATAGCAAAGAACATTCCCAAGAGGAATCAAATCATTGATATACAGCAGAAAAAGTCTGGGGGATACGGCGGAGCCCCGAGGAACAGCGACATTCACTGCAATCTACATCTGTCCGTTAGGACGTGAAGTCCACAACCATGCAGGAAGTCAGGCACCCAGGCACAGAACTGAGCAGGCAGACCGTGTGCAGGAAGCTTGAAGAGAAGGCTTTTGTGCAAGACCCTAGGCAAGGCTTTTGAAGTCTTAATGATGTCAATGCTGATAGCCAAACACTCTCTCCTCTTGTCTATAGCCTCACCCCAGATGTGTGTCACGGCCTAAATTCGTATTGACGATCGAGGAGCAGGGAGTGATCTTCTAGGTAGCGGGTCAGATGGTTATTAAGGAACCTTTCTAAGACTGCACAACAATGAGTTGACAGGTATCGGCAGATAGTTGGTCGGGTCTTAGCGCTCCCCTTTTTTGGACATCGGTTGCACATTGACAAAAGTTGGTACAAACGCGTAAGCACGGAAGACAACTCCCGGGATCCTTGAGAGAACGACTTCTGATCCAAGCGCGATATATAGCGCGACAACGATATGCCGTCTGCTTACGCGAAACAGCATCAGCATTTGATCATCAATCGCGACTGTAATTGAACCAGCGGTTACGTGTGTCCTTACTGATGAGATCAGAATGTAAAATGTAATACTCCGTTCCTATTACGATTTCCTCAGTAATAGCAACGGCACTGGCGTGGCTGGCGATACGTCCTTTTCACTGAAGCAACGCTGCTTCCAAGTGACGGACCCATAGTAGTCGCGCATACCATGCCAATCTGCCGACCACGTTTGTTTGATTTTTCGTAAACAAGCTTTCTGTCGTAAACAAGCAATAGGGAAGGATATTTTGAAGTTCAAACTCTAAGGAGTAAAATGGTGGTTTGAAAAGCCTTCAATAGTTATTTATTATACAAGAGTGGAAAGTTCCTTTTTAACCGCGTGCTCGATTTGGATGACCGAGCAAGCGAAGGATTCTAAAGTTGAATCACGAGCGCAGCGAGTGATTCTAAATTAGAATCCTGAGCGTCAGCGAGGGAAACAAACGAGCACAAGGTGAAAAATCTTTCCACTCGAGTGCAATACGTAACTTTTCATCCCACCTCAGCGAGGAAATGACAAAATGAAAAAGAAAACAATTTATAATGACAAAATATTTAAGCAATAAAACGTGAAAAACTAGAATGGCGCGAAGCACGCAAATAAAACAAAGAAACCAAGAAGGTTCCAAATTTAAATTTTTTCACAATTTAAAAAGTTCTAATCATAAATTTGGCACCATAGAGGTTACATTAAATAGGTTTAATGACGTTTTGAATTTACAATTATATTGAGTACTCATTATATGTGATGTTCTAAATTCAAATCTACTTTGCCGCTCAAGCGAATAAAATAGAATTTTCCAGCCAGATTTCGAAGCGCAAAATTACACTTTCCGAGGTGGTGGGATGAAAATGAATTTTGTATGCAGAGCACCCCACTAGAGACAGACATCAGAACTTTGGTTGTGTTTTATTTCTGAACAAAGTTCCAAGACTCCACGGTGAAGGAAATGGGGTCAAGGAAGGCAACAGCGGAAGTGGCAATTAAGTATCGCAAGCGTCTATGTCTGTTGGCTATAGCGGCCTCTTAACATCAGGCGGGTCATATGCTGGCTTGACACCCTTTGGATTTGCAATTGTGGAACTGAAGTATTTTTCTATTCTGCCCGTAGTTAAAGTCTGTGCACCAGCCGTGTATAGTAGAGTATACAGGGTGGTCCAATTAGTGACGTCAACAATTTTTTTTAGATTCCTCGCACCTGGGGGTATCCGAAAATACCCCATGTATTGTCCGCGATTTTTCTTAGTTTTCGAGTTATATTTTTTGTGTATTTTTAATGATTTCTGGCGAGGTTTCAAAAATTCATATCTTTTTTCGTAGAAGTATATTATTATTAACTTTTGTTTTTAGTAGGATTTACTCAAACATTCAATTTCAATTTAAAAATACAAAAAGGAGTTTCCATAGCTTCTGGCTAAAATTAAAAACTCCGCATGCTTCTAAACTACCAAAAATCATAAAAAAATATGTACTTAATCAGCCTATTTTTGTTGTAATTGGCCTTCGAAAGCGGATAGGCTAAAAAACATTGAAACACGATTAAAGCATTAAAAATTATTTTATCTACTTTTTATCATTGTTATGGTAAATTAAACTTAAAAATGTAATTTCAAATTAAATTTAATTGAAATTCCTGTAAAATAACTTAAGCATGTGGAATTTTATAATAATTTGTTAAATTAAAATGTTTTACCATTTATTATAATTTGCGATAAATCTTTTTCTTTCAGCATTCATTATTGGCTACTTAGTTTATGAAGGCGTTGAACGTGAACACCATAGACTTGGACGAAAAAATCCTGCTGACTTTGAAAATGATCAATAAATAGTAAATTTATGTTAACATAAATCAAAATTTCTATTAGTTAATATATAATAAAAAAATCTTTGTTAATTCGTCTATTATTCGCAGGCTGTGTGATACGGTCTAAATCGTGATTAGCCTTTGTCCTTATCTCCTCCTAGTACCCTCGTTGAAGTCCTTTTATCAGTGCCTATATAATGCAAAAAAACCCTCTGGGAAATAATAACTGATTTCATGTTGTACGCCTGGCGTGATGATCAAGCCAGCGTACACCAGGCCATACTCGAAAACGGCTTATTGTTAAGCAACCTAATTTTCACAGAATTTAGTGCCCACACATAATGATAGCCCATAAAGCAACAAAGTTAAAGAATAAGACTCAAATAAATAACATTTGAAGCTTGCGTTATGGTAGCGTACCCCAAGTAGTAGGTACTTTGAAGAAAGTGAACTTTTAATATATTATCCTTGTATGTACTTTATACATGCGTGAAATTCTGCCTCTGTTAGTTTAGTTTTAATACAAAACAAAAGTTAAATGCTGATATAGGAGAGTAATTACTTCATTAATAATTTGTAGATAAAATATAAATTCTAATGAAAATATTAACAATCATTGTTTATCGCATCATTTAAAATAATTTGTCATTCGTTGGTGCTCCCCATTTCCATTTCCCATTCATATAAATTTTATCTTCGCCACTATACATTTGTTCCTAGAAGTTAACACCAGTTTTTTTTTTATTGCGCTACGAATTCATATATAGTAAAACCCGTTTAAGACGATTTCACAGGGACTCAAACAAAAATGCGTCTTAAGCGGGAAAGCGTATTATGTGGGATTTCGGGATAGGGAAATTTCGAATCTAGGTATTGAGGTATTAAATGTACAATATTTAAGAGTTATGTATGTTTTAAAAAATGTAGTGTATTATTATTTGCTATTACGTTATTTAAATTGAACATTTTGAGGCATAAGCAATTACAAGATTTTCGACATAATTTAAATTTTGCAGTGCGTCTTCGCTTTGATTCAAAGAAACTAAATCATTAACTGCTCATAAAGCCTGGGCGTGTGATAAAATCGGAGTTCACTCATCTTCTTCTTGATCATTATAACTTAGGGCCTCTTCTTGTGTTATTCTAATTTTCATTGAATTTTATACGGTGCCATATTGTCATCAATAGAAGAATATCCAGGAAAAATCAATACTTCAATCGCTGGCCGCTGCCGCAAGAGGTCATATGTGTGGTAGGGATGTCGAAAGTTGAAAAAAATATCGATATATCGATACATCGATATTTTAAAAAATATCAATATCGGCTTCGATATATCGCGAAAAAAAATATCGATATATCGGGCCAATTTTTCCAAAAATATATTTAGGCCAGCCTAGCATAGTAATAATAGTTCAATACAAATTATAATTAAAGAAAGAATTATCAAAGTACCAAATTGCCGCTACACTACATGACAGTACAGTATCTCACGAAATATGACACGCGGAATAATAATGGAACGAAAATTTACTCCCTAAAAATAGACCCTATTTTCGAATGAGAAAAATGCCAATGCCAGGGCCTCTCAGGTGCCATCTTTCGTAAACAAGACTAGACAGTCACACACTTCCACAGAATATAATGGAAATCAGCACAACAAATTCACCAGCGAAACAGATTTACAAATAATAGACAATACTAAATACAGCACAGATCATAGATATGTTGAATATCATTAATCTGAGATCTAGTTACGATTTTTCCAGATACGAATTTAGTTAGATCGTGATATGCCGCTAATAATTAAAAAAATATCGTTTTCGATACGAATTTCGATATTGGTTATTTTGTATCGATATATCGAATCAAAATATATCGGCAAAAAATATCGATATATCGAACAAAAAATATCGATATATCGATATATTTTCAACAAGCCTAATGTGTGGTACGTGTTGGCGATTTAGGAGTATTAAACGGGATGACGAATCGTATTAAGCGTTAAGAAGTGTATGAAAACATGTCTCAAGTTGCAGGGACTGACGCAAAATGGCGTATTATGCGAGAAATGGTATTAAACGGGTTCTACTGTAGTACTTTATATTAACAGAGGCAGAATTTCAAGCACTAACTATACATGTACCATATGTTAAAGAAAAGTTCGCTTGCACTATTTGGTATTCGTTACGATGACGCCAGCTCCAAAGCTTATTTATAACTCCTGTTCTATATTTTTGTTCCTTTAAGATCTATCCTTGTGAAATTCTGCAGAGCGGAAGCACTATTAGAGCACTAATTTCTGTAAAACTGGTTGCTTAACAATAAGCCGTTTTCGAGGCTGACTTGATGTACGCTAGCTTGATCGTCACGCCAGAGTAAACCATGAAAACAGTGTATTTCCTAACGTAGACAGTTTCCTAAACTAATATGTTTTTTGCTCTAATTAGGCTTACGCACTAAATAATAGCATAAGTAACAACGCTGGCATGTCGGACACTGATGAGTGTGACGACTATACATCGAACGCGCGTGTAACCAACTTTATGCTGGCTCTACACTTGTGCTGTGAAGCACGACGAACAAGCGTGAACGTAAATTTGGGTGGTTTTGCGGCTTCACGCGCATTCGATGTAGGTAATCAACATCATATATAACACAGAGACAGACTAAAGGATAAAAGATTGCTTGCTAATGCTCCGCGACTATGGGGATAGTACTGATGTGAATAAGCTATTTGACAGTATGAAAAATAAAGTACAAATTGTTGGCATCTGTGTTGAATAACAATAAGCAGTGGTTTTACTATTCTGATTTCTGAGAGAACAAATAATCAATATCTTTTCTAAAAATCATTTTAGCGGTGCCACGCTATGATGGCCGTTATGACGTATGTTATTTAAACCATTGTGTTTCTTATTCAAGACTTTAGTTTGTTCTTTATTGTTATTAAAGACGTGAATTTCTTAGACCATTAAACCACAGGTGAATTTAGTCATAACATTTATGGAATTGGCAATTTTATGGCTTGCACTTAGAATTCGAATCTTATATTATAGCCTAACTATTATGTCTCCGAAAGCCTTTTAAGTATGTAGGTACCTGGTAAGTTTTTAAGTTATTAAATAAAATATTATTTTTAACATAAAAACACCTGCCATTTGACAGAATCATAAAAGGATCAGGTAAATGAAATTAATTATTATTATCTTTACGAACTGTTAACTATATCGTACAAATAATATATTCATATAATTACAGCAGGGATACTTATACATTTGTTCATTCTATTAATTTTAATAAGATAGGTTAGGCCGGCGCTGTTGAGTTGTAAAATAATCTGTGACATTTGTGATCTATGTTTTTTGGCGTTTGAGTTACCCTGGTGTGCCCCGTAGCGACCTGAAATTCTACAGGCGCCAGACAGAAATTCAAAGAAGTGATCACTTCTTTAAAGACTGCTCACACATTTAGTCACATATTGTTGTACCTGCCACATAAATGTTAAAAGATTTAATTACTCCTTTGGGCTCAGTTTTCAAATAGACTTCACACGGGATGGACAACGATTTGGTCGACACAGTTTACTTATATTAAATATTTAAATATATATATATATTAATATTACACGCACATGTTCATGTACGTACTTACTGCACGTGCAAATTAATAAAAAAAGAACAGCCAAAACGAATATGTAAAGGGATGTGTGAAATGTATCACACGTCGGCTCTCCACGGTGACGTTTGTGCAACTGGACTTCATTCGCGCAGTGTTACAGGCACACAAACATTTGGACTTTAATCCCATTTGGGCCTACCACACGCACGAGCTTCACCACAGTTTTGCCTGCGCAGGCCGGTTTGTACACGGAACACGGTGCGTGTAGTTGGTAAAACTGTATCACGCGCCAACCCCACAGCGCGGCCTGCGCAATTTTCGACTTGCTTGAAATTTTGCCTGCGCAAGCCCGGCCTGCGCGTACTTGTCTGTGCGTGTGGTTGGGCGTTCAGTGTTCAAGCCACAGTCGAGTGTACTTTGTGTCGAGGCTCGGTCGTCGTTTCACGAGGTCGTTCGTCATCGTCACACAAAAATGGTAGATTTGCGTACGTACAATCTCGAATTCACGTCTGAATTAATTAGTTAATACAAATCTCTGCCTGCACTCTGGAAATTTAAATCTAAAGATTATTCCGACCGAAATAAAAAGAACGACGCCTACGAAAGAATGATAAATAAAATGAAAGAGGTATGAACATAATTTTTGCATCTAAATACCTATGCCTAATACCTACTACCTACCTACTTGCACATATTATGTACATATCCTATCGTTTTTACATGTTTTTTTTAATAGCAAACACTTGAAAAATAGTAGCATAAGAAATGTTTCTTCATTAGAAAACATTGTTTCCACGCCAATGATTTCGATAAGAATGAGGCTTGCGCGTACTTAATTGTGCCGTGTGGTAACGCACAAAGTGTACAGTTTTTTCGTGCGAGATGCTTGCGCAGGCCAAACTGTGGTGAAGCTTGTGCGTGTGGTAAGCGCAATTGATGTGCGCTAAAAAAACCGACACGGAATGCCGAAGTGCACATAAGTAATCAAATATGTGACAAATAAAACGCCCATACCAAGAGATGGGTTTTGAACCGGGTTATAACCCACTAGTAGGTTAAAACCCAATAATAACCCATTTCAATCCACCCATGGGTTGTTATAGTGGGTGATAACAAATGATTTCAAAATTTTATCAATTCGTTTGTGTTTTTTACCTAATTTAAATAAACGTAAAGTAAAAAACATAATACTAAATAAAAAACTCAATTAATGAATATAAACATTAAATATTTTCTTAAACAAAAGTAAGTTGTAAGTAAATATTCTTTATTAAATATGTGGTGCTGGTTACGCCGCCGCGCCAGGTTGATAAGCTTAGAAGAGTGGGACGGGTGGCGCACACGCAACGCTCCCCGCAGCCCCTGCCGCACCCCGCCCGCTTCGATTAGTCTGCCTCATGCTTTACACTCGTGTTTAGGCGGTTGGTTTGTGAGCTCGTGCCGTGATTTTGTGTTTTTATTAACGACGACCCGATACTGTTTTACTGTGACCTGATCCTGCTTTTCACCTGATTGACCTTGGCTCGAATACACTGACTACGATTTGCTTGCTGGATATCAAAGTTTACCAATCGGTAAGTACTTAAATTGTTACTCACTAAGTTCAAATCATTGCGTACTACATTGTTATTGTATTGAATTTACCTATTTCTTATTATTCCATAATATATACTATTTAATTTAAAACTGATTTTAATATTTAAAGAAGTGTGACTAACCAAATGCGGTAACAATGTACTTGCCTTTTTTTTTAACCAATGCGTCTAAATATTGGGAGCTATGTAAAAGAAATATTAAATTAGTCCTTAAACTCTTTGAAACATATCCCTCGATCGCAGGAAGATTGTACTTCCTCTTAACAAGCGCATGTGAATATGACGTCATGCGCTATGTTCTTGAATTGGGCACG